ATCATTAACAATTGCCAACGATATCCTCTGCACGTAAAGAATATTATGCACATCATACAACATCGAATATCAAAAGAATATTCTAATATCATTTTATTGATGATAAGGTATAATTTTTTGATGATGTTCATGTTAGCGCGCTATACACACACAGTTACAGCAGCATCGAAATGTTTATGATTGGTCTTGTTGCGTAACTAAATGAATGAGTTTTTGAGTAAGGATAGTTACTAAAGTTCGGTGATACGGATGATGAAACGAGCGATGATACGAGAGATGGTCCGTAATATGAAACGGATGATGAAACGGGCGATGATACGAGAGATGATACGGCCCATTATACGGATGATGAAACGAGCGATGATACGGGAGATTGTCCGTCACATGATACGGATGATTAAACGGGCGATGATACGAGAGATGATACGGCCCATTATCCGGATGATGAAACGAGCGATGATACGAGAGATGGTCCGTCACATGATACGGACGATGAAACGAGCGATGATACGGGAGATGATACGGCCCACGAGACGGCCGATGATCCAGACCACAGCAGAGCACAGTAATGATTAAGGCGATGATTGCGCTCATTATGATCCACGATACCGAGGCGACGATGTCGCTGATCACGGATAACTTGTTGCGGGGTATAAAAAACTGAAGTTGTCATTCTTCATGATGTTGAGACAATCTACAGGCATTGGCTGAGAGAAAACATGCAAAAAAAAAGTTTCTGTGTGTAGAAAGAATCTTGAATGAACGCAAACACTTATTGGGTTCTCATATTTTTTTGCTAGTCGTTATGGATTGAAAAAATAACTTAAATTTCAAATAAATTTTATTAAAATTTAAGCCATTCGGTCATATCATTTACGTTTGACCAGCTATGGATGAACCTGAGGACGAACAAGCTCTGAGGAGCAGCCAGCTCTGGTAAACAGGTTGTAGCATATCTGATGGACTAACGGCAATAACCTCAGTCTGCATCATAAAATATCAGACCAGAAATTAACACAGGAAACAATCACCGATATAGGATGAGCTTTGCATTTTGTGGGCGCCTTACACGTCGTGGCAAAACGCGCTTATTATGATTTACTGTCATCCTACTAGGCATCTAACTTTGAAATAACTTTGATTAAACGTCGTTTTAACGAAATTGACTCAAGATCAGCGTTTTCTCAACGTCATTTGCTTGGCGGGATATTATATGCATATTTATGCTATTTATGATACTGGATTTTTTATTGCTGGTTCCTTGGAAACAACTTTTCACAAGCTTGATTCTGCTGTTGAAAAGCACAAGATATAACTAATCATAATATAGAATAGATCGAAGTGTCGGCGTTGAAGAAATAGGCCCATGGCCTGTTGCCGAGAAATAGGCCCATGGCCTGTTGAAATAGGCCCAATATAAAAACGTCTAAGTGTCAGTAATTTCCCGAGCACCTTTAAAGTCCAATACAAACCATTTTAATTGCGAGTCTCAAAGAGCTTAATATATTAAGCAGCACCGAGTTTTGATCAGTTAGAAATAATTGCTCGTGCAATTAAAGCATTGAACCTAAGAAACAGAGTCGTTTGATTCTGGATAAAGGGTGAAAATTTCAGACTTTTGTCTTTTACAAATTTTGTCTCCGGCTCAAACTATCACCACTATTCAAATCAATATTTTGGATGGACTTCAGTTTAAGTTTAGTTTAGTTTTTTAAGTTTAGTTGATTTTATATTTATTTAATTACATTAAGAGGTTCAAGTTTCATAAGTGAATAAAATGCGAGTCTAATTAATATCATGCATCAGGTTTGAGCATTACAAGTCAGTGAAAGTCTAAGCATGGAATGGCACTGAACGCAATTAGCTGTAGAGCAATTCTGTAACATGCGCTAAGCTCTGCACCAGCTAGCATGGGTGAACGATTCTGTCCAGGATAAAGGCAAACAGATGGTCCAAGAGATGGATGGACGGACGTACGGACAGACTATCCGTCATACATGATGGACTCGGAGAAATGAGCAAGACTTTGTCCGAATCGCGATGCACTTTTGCTTTTGCGTGCGTCATCCAGGCCTAAATTAGCCTAGCAAAAGATGTATTATAGTGTTGTGGGTAAAAAAGTGTACCAGTATTTGGACAATACGATCCGTTCACTTTTCTGAGTGTCCTTAATAGCTCTGCAGGAGCAATTGCCATTACAATCAACAAAGCCCGCCCACTTCTTGAATTGGTATGAATAAATTATGTGCTTACTTGTATATATTCTTGAACAAAAAATTCCAAATGGGCAGCCATAAAAATTTCCTCGTAAACTCGCAAGTTGGCATTCCTAGGTAACTATAAATAAAAACCGTAAAGTTCTTTGCAAAATAAACTTAATGTTGTATTCTCATCTGTGGTAATCAAATTACATTTCACAAAAAGTTAACGAAAACTAACATGCTACAATAAATCGTATACTCACTAAGAGTGAACGAAAACAAATAAATTATAATGAAACTTGACCTCACGAGGAGTGAACAAAAACTAATAAGTTATAATTTAGCTTAAACCCGAACAAAAATAGTGAACGAAAATTGGCATATAATGCCAACAACTCATATTAATATAATCCGTATTGTTAAGGCAACAAACTGCACGAATTCCTCCAACTACCACCAGCCGATTTGAGTTACTGCGATGCGACAGCTTCTTATTTGACAGCGACTCGAGTACCGAGTTCGCTGTTTAAATATTTTCCTTCGATTTGCCAGAAAAAAGTTCTTCTCACGAGGCCGTGGGACTGCGGGACAAAGTGGTATCGATCTGAGGACAGATGGACGCTCTGCCGTCATGCCATCGCAGGCCGATGGCAGCGATGTATGCGCTGCCGTCATGCCATTGGAGGCCGATGGTGGCGATGGACACGATGCCATCATGCCATATGAGGTCGATAGTGTGTAATTGGCTCGGCTCCTAAATTACTATGTCTACGAGCCGAGAATTTTCGAAATGTGATGCAATCAATAATTGTCTTAAATGCCGTTTATAACGGGAAATAAATCATTTGGAAAAAATTAATGAAGGGATACTGATTAAAAAAAGTAGTTTTCTTTGAAAATAGATCAACTTAAATAGTGCATAGACGTCGGATAAATGCTTTAGAAATTTATAAAGGTTGTACGCACAATTACATGTTGAAAATATTAAATAAAACAGGTTGAAAATCATGTAATTATGAGTAGACACGAAACGCGATTTAATGTCATCATCATATCTCTGGCAAACTTCAAGTCAATGCGGTTACCTTAAAAAGCGGTTCGATCTATGGAGCTCTAAAGAATTTATGAACTGGAAGTCTTCTGAATGTGTGATGCCCTTGTATTTAGAGCGGCCAAAACACGACCTCTCGAAACCTGATCGCTGTGAGCCTGCCTTACAAAAGGAGAGATCCAAAGGGATTAGATCGATCAGCCCACCCAAAGGAGAGATTCAGAGGGACCAGTTGGAAGTTCGCCCACCCAAAGGAGAGATCCAGAGGGACCAGTTGGAAGTTCGCCCACCCAAAGGAGAGATCCAAAGGGACCAGTTGGAAGTTTCGCCCACCCAATGGAGAGATTCAGAGGGACCAGTTGGAAGTTTCGCCCACCCAAAGGAGAGATCCAAAGGGACCAGTTAGAAGTTTAGCCCACCCAATAATATGATCGATCAACACCCACGTTTGAAGTGCGAGCAAAGCTGCAGCGATAGCCGTCATGGCGGCTATCGCTGCGTCGGTCGAAGTCAGGGATCAAAATTCAACGTTATCAATTTCCAAAGGGCGAAAAAACTATAGTATCAAAAATTAATATAATAAAATTTACAATAATTGCGAGCTAAGATATTTTTCCACATCATATCAAGAAATATTAAGAAGGGGAGCTAATATTAAAGAGCGTGCGGTTGCCGTAGTCAAAACTAACGAACCTCGATAATTGGCCAACAAATCAGAGTCCTCAAGCTACAGGAGTTGACATCCGCGAGGTTTGAAAGGCGGGAAAAAGCGAGGAAAAGGAATAATTAGGTGAAGAAATAACGGTAGGAAGAGATGGATGGAATGCCAGCTGGAAGAAGTGACGTGAATGCCAGTTGAAGGGGTGGAGGGAATGCCAGCTGGAAGTGGTGGAGGGAATGCCAGCTGAAAGAAGTGACGTGAATGCCAGTTGAAGGGGTGGAGGGAATGCCAGCTGAAAGAAGTGACGTGAATGCCAGTTGAAGGGGTGGAGGGAATGCCAGCTGGAAGTGGTGGAGGGAATGCCAGCTGGAAGAAGTGACGTGAATGCCAGTTGAAGAGGTGGAGGGAATGCCAGTTGAAGACGTGGAGGGAATGCCAGTTGGAAGGGGTGGAGGGTTGCGTGAGAGGGAGGAGGATAGGAGGGAAGGAGAAGGGTAGCGGGGCAGATGTTCCTTTCACAGCGGGAGTGGGACGGTAGCACGAGCTTTACTCTGTCACCGCACCCCCCCCCCTTTTCATCTCCCCCCCTCCAATGGTCACCGCCTCCTTCCTCTCCCCCCTTTCCTTGTATTCCATCATGTCTGTAATCCAAGCCCGCACCAACGAATGAAAGACTAAAGAAAATATATTGGGCTCAAAATTGAATCAAAAACAGTCCGAATAAGAATAATAAGATGATTTGAACGTTTGAGATGATGAATTGATGATAAATGGATGCTAGAGAGTATATGCGAAAAACACTATTAAATTAGCTGTGGAAAATATTATATACCTAGTATATTGCATTACTGAACATATAGCTTGTAATTATATTATAATATGGAAGCCCGTGTTAAAAAAACATAAAAACTCTTGAGAGACTCAATGCCTATAAATCGAAAGTCATACCTAATATGACTAATTTTCAGTCAAATGAACTTGGTCACGAAATTGAGGACAAAACAGAAAATATACGGCCGTGAGACTACGAAGTTCAAAATTTCGGCAGCGGTTGGCTGAACCTCGGAAATATCTTATAGTTTCTCACCTTGTAAGTTTTAGCGAGATGTTCGAGAGGCTGAAGATCATGCTGAACGTGTATTTCCTTAACACATTTGTCACACGCGACACTTCTACACATCGTACAATACACATTACTCTTCTCACTGTGTGGAGAACACAAAGTAGTTTGTATGGCGCCAACAGACACAGTCGCGCACACCGGCACCAGCGAGTGTGTGGACAGCGGGCCCCTCATAGGGTGACAAGAAGCGAGACAAGTTGTGCAGTATAGTATCCTACACTGCACACATTGTGTCGTCGCATCCTTGGGAGATCCTTCACAAAGTTGGCACGACGCCGGCCCTCCGTTGCTGCTCAGCAATCCGCTCCTGTATCGCGTCACAATCCTGGCCATTGCCGGGTACGGAGCCAGGCCACACAGTCCGTCTGGTCCTAACATGAGTAGTTTGTGACACGCAGGACACTGCACGGATCCTGCGTGCAGGGCTCCGTGGTTCAGGAGATGCGTGGTCCATGGGGCGCCTCCTTCGATGAACGGCGTCGACGACGAGGTCGGTAGGATATGAGGAGGAGGGGAAGATATAGACGGCACGAGTGACCGTATGGATGACGGGTTAGACGGGGCGACGATGACGCCGCTGTCTGTCTCGCTGTAGACGGAGGCCTTATCACTGTCGTCACCGTCTGTCTTGGGCTGAGGAGGCGGGGGGGACTTGGCGCAAGAGGCACACACGGCACGACTGCAGCACGGCAGAAGCAGCGGTTCTGTCAGCAGCTGACAGCACAGCGCGCACGACAACTCGACCTCCATCGCGCACCGCGGCGCACGAGCGACTGGAGGCTTCATAGACCGACGACCTCCGCGCGCACCCTCGGTCGTCAGACCTAACAGCCCCCACCGCGTTCTTACAGTCGCAACGAACTCACTGATTGTCCTGGAACCCAATTCAATATATAAATACAATATAAAAATATTGTATTATATATTATAAATTATATAATATAAGAATATAAATACAATATATAAAATATCAATATATATATTAAAAATTTTATATGTCTATTTATATTAATATAAATATAAAATATCAATATATACAAATATAAACTCAATTAAATACGTAAAATAAAAACCTAATTCAAAACATAAAATTTAAGAGAATTTAACGAAACTATCGTTAAACTCGCAATACGCGTACAAACAAAATTAATGGAGGAAACTCTCCGAGACAACAAAAAGATCTAAAATTAAATTTAGTTACCTGATAACGATAGAAAAGATCGTTACTTATACTACTATTACTATTAATACTATTATCCACACTAGGCCATAAAACTATTATTATAATACTATTATCCACATACTATTATCCATAAAACTATTATTATTATAATACTATTACCCACATTACCGTAAAAATATTTAGAAAACAATAGAAATATCTTAAATTAGGATTGAAGGCAGTGTTATTGTGTGGCCGCCAGAGGGAGATGAACTATTTCGGCTGGCGGTGGCGGGGTCCATAAATTAATGAAGCCTCCTTGTGATGGCGAACTGGGGAGACTTTTGTCCCCAGCCGCCCGCACGCTCCAAGCACAGATTCACTTGTGCATATAAATACAAGTGCAATGAATATTACGTGTAATTTGATGTGTAGAATCTATAATAATGTAGAAAATATTTGATTTAGAAAATATTACATGTAGAATGAATATTACGTGCACTCAGATTCGTTAGGGCGGAGTTATGATTATATAAGAAGATATTTTGTGCACTAAAATTTATTTGGAAAAAGTTATTCTAGTTAAAATATAGTTTGTGCACTGACATTAGACAAAGTCATGATTATGGGAATAGAGTTAATTATTATTTGTACGTTATACTCGTAAACTTGTACTGAGTCGTATAAAACGAACTTTCAAAAGAAGAATTTATAAAATTCGCCTATTAGAGCTCTACTTTCCACTTTATTTTTTCCAATTTATCGAACCTACTCAGAAATTCTTAGTGAAAAGCATGGTGTATCTGACCACCTATAATAATGTGAAAACGAATGAAAATTCATAACATTTAATGTTATAAATTCAGTGAATTGTGAGACCCCGACTCTCTCTCTGACTTACAATAAGAAAAAATTTACAACGCACGCGGCGCAGGCTGCACAGAGTTTAGGTAGCAGTCATTTGCCGGATTGTAAAGCCTTGTTCATTTGATTTCTTATGGTTTAACGTGAGTCTCGCAGACGTCGCCCGCCAATCGTTCATCACGGACGTTTGCTTGGAGTTGAACTGAAGGCAAACAAACAGGGACGGCGACCTGGCGACTTTATTGATGGTGAGCTGGCGACTTTATTGAGCAGACGCTTGACGGTTCACCAATACCAGATATTACGCTTCAGGGCACAGCCGAGATAACGGGTGACATTGAGCATGAGTTAGTTTAGAATTCGTAACTCCGTTAGCCAATTACTGACGGCTTTTCAAGCTAAATCCACCAATCAAAGACGAGAAACCGGCCGCTACGTGTACTTAGGCCACAACGTGTCCATAAGCGAGTTACGAAGGTACGGCCCAGAGATATTGGTAAGGAATGGTAAGTTCAATAGCGGCTGCATGTCAAGCAAATTTAAACTTCAATCCAGAAATAAAAAGATATACAGTAAACACAATGCCAATAAAGTTTACCATATTTTGATTTTCAAGGAAAACATTGTCAACTTTGAAATTTCTATTAAATTAATATTAAATTGAAATTTTTAAAATGTTGCCTTAAATTTGCGATTTAAGGCAACATTGAAAATGTCTCAAAAAGATGTCCTGGTATAAAAATTATATATAGATAGAATAGAATTGTTTAATTCATGTGATAGTCTGGAAAAACGGTTTGCACAAGGCAAAATAAATGCGTCAACACATAGTAAATGAGGAAAACTTTTCATTACCAGAAAGCTATTTCCATTGGAAGGCAAAAGTTGGCATGCAACCATGCTATCGAATTAAACTCATAAAAATTAAAGGGAAATTAGGCGCGGAATAGCGAAATGAGAGAAGAATGAAAAGTATAGCAAGTATAATGAGCGAAGTATAGCAATTCGTTAACGAAGTATAGCAAGTAATATGAATATGAATTTCTTTCATCTATAATGTTGAATACAATAGGAAAAACTAATAAGGAAATTATTAATACAACAAATTCCCTTGTCAATCAATTTTGCTTAAATGAACAAGTTATATAAATAGATAATCTACCATCGTAACGAAGAAGTAATAATGAATGGAACCCGAAAGCCTGGGACTCAGAAGTTAGCTTATACGAGATTCAAAGCCTCCACTTCATTGGCTAAGATGGAGGCAGCGCCAGCAATGGATAAGACGAAGCGAGTAGCTTTTTAATTATATTTAAATTTTGTATATTGTTGAAATGTAAAATAAGAATCAATAAGATGAGAAGCTGAAAAAATTGTTAATCAATCAACTTAACTGAGAAATATACTTGATTTTGAAAATCTCATAATTTCGACATGGATTTGAAAAATGTTTCCGCTGACCAGATATATATTAAAGGAAAATTGTAATTTAAAAGGTTTTGAAATAATCCACTTATTGTTATATAAGCTTTGGAGATCAATAAATTATTCCGTAATGTTTTTCTGTAATATGCGTAATGTTTTTGCGTATGATAGCTCCAGTCATAATTTTTATGGACGTGTAAAATAACTAATGGGAAAATTCCACATTCATGAAAAAGATTGTGCTGTATTTTAGAATTATCAAGAAAATATTTATAGACAGAACCATTTTTTCACGAGTTTGCTCTCGAAATTCGTGAACGCAATGAGTACAATTTAAATAAAACTCTACGTTGTGTTGTCGTATATTTTCAGGTTTAATAAACTTTCAGTCCCTGCTATATTTAATTATTAGCGAAATAAAAGTGATCAGAGCAAAAGTAAAGTAAGAATCAAATGAATTAAGCATTACCAAGGAATGAAGATTTAAATAGACACCTACGTTGCAGTGCCACATAGTAAACAAAAAACATTTCACACAATGCGAGTCAAATTCATATTTTCGAAGCAATATTCTATGCATAATATAATAAGTAATGTTTTTGACAAGTAAATTTTAATTTTAATAGAAAGATAATGCAAAGAAGAAAACAAATTAATTCTACAGGTTTTCGCAGTTCTAGACGAATTTATTCACCTCGATCTACAAGCTAGACAAAAAATGTTGAATGGAGTCCCTTCTTGCTGTAAATATTCCAGCAATTATTTTAGTGAGAATTCAACTACCATTTTCAACACTAGTATATGAAGCACCAATTCAAATTCGTTGTAGACATGAATCCAATGAAGCTTTTGATTCTATAACCTTCAGCATCGTTGAAAACATCAGTGGTAAACTCGTGGAAAAAAATCCTGACAAAAACTGGTTTACTTGAAAAATTCTTGCCTGGTTCTAATAGAGCTGAACAGAACTTAACCAGCACTCACTTATTGCCAACAGAACATCAAGTTTACAAGCCAAAGCTTCCGGTTGTTTACTAAGACCATCGTTGCAGGTGAACAACATCGTCTTGTGCACGTGTTTACTGCGACGTGTTTACCGCAGTCATCACTAAATATTCTTCTGTTTTGCCAGAATCATGCGGTTTTCATATCAGGCCAAACCAGAGCCAATTGCTGGGTAAATATACCAATAAATATACAAACGAAAAATTATATTGTTATTTTATTCATAAATGATATTTAATAACCTTGTCGCATTGCATAGGCACAATTGTAGCTAAACTCGGTATGATTATAAGGGTGTAAAATTATTCAATCTGATAAAAGTCAAATACTATTCTACTACAGCAATATTTTTTCAACATAAATTTCCAGCTAAAAAATTCTCTTTTTTTGCGTTGATGTTAAACATAACATTGCTCTTCGTTTTATATCGGCATTCTGCCTGGCGCGGAACACCGTTCTGTTGTGATATCTTTATCCGTACTCGAGTTCAGTGTTGTGGAGCGCTCGCTGGAGCGAAAGATGCGCATACACTCACATTCAGATTTGTTTATTTAAAACTCGTAGCTTGGATCCTCAAAAGTTCGGAATAAATCGCTACTTAAAAGCCAGTCGCTGTGGAATTTCAAACCCAAGAAACCCAAATTCGAATGCGAAAAAATTGCAATGGCATTTTTTATATGTTCATTGAATTTTTAGTGCGCGCTGGTAAATGGTTCATCGATATAAACTAAATACGTTTTTCATATGCACGCTAAATTTGAACTTGCTTTGATCTCTTGAATGGGCTTGAATATATGCCAACAGTTTCTCACTTGGAGTGATCGAAAAGGCCTCTTTGCTTCCAGACATTTGACCAAAAGCAACGTTCGAAGTACGCTTCCTGATCATGGATTCTATGAACTCATTGAAATGAAAACGAAGATGTTTACGAGCGGTGAATAACAATTGAAACAAAATATACATATTCCTAAAGGTAAACCCTTTCACTGATAACATTGCATGACCATTAAAAACCTCTGAACCTGTTAAAGGGTTTCATCAAAAATTCTCTGTGCTAATTTTGACTTCAGTTTCTTGAGGCACTTACGTGGTGAAATCTTGTGGGCGTTTCGATTTTTGCGTATAGGAAACGTTACTTTTGCGGCGATTGCAAGTTAGAAAAACATATTCATAGACTAGACAATGCTAATGGCCCTTTTGTAAATGAGCCGCTGGCAAGACAGAAAATTCGTAAATTAACAAGAAACTTGAAAATGGAATAACGAAATTTTAAAATGCATCAAAATCAGTTTGAAAAA